CCCCCCCCCGTTCCTGCACAAGAAGAGGAGTGGTTCCTATCATGCACAAGACAGGTTACCCAGTGCTGAGCAGGGGGAAGTGGCTGCAGGAAGAGATTCCTTCCCGGCTCCTGTAGATCAGGGGTGGGCAGCATGTGGCTTGCATGCCACAAGTGGCACATGTGGCCTGTGTGTCACACAGCAGACTGGGGAGGAAACAGGCAGAACAGTGGCAGATTGGGCAGGGAACAGAAATCAGAGCAGGGGGTGGTAGTGGCATGCAGGGAGGGTGCAGGGCTAGCTTGTAGCATGCCTGCCAAAATATTGGCTCCCACTGCTCTAAACAATCCGACTATGGTCTGAAGGTTGAGACTAATTACTGTTATCACTGCCTGGAGCCTCACAGGAAAGTTAGAGCTCCCCGCTGCTCTGTTGAGGGAAAGGGTAGAAGATTGCATGCGTGCGATGCACAGTTCTCTGGCCTATTTTTTCCTTTGTCTCTTTGCAGGAGAAACTGAAGCCGGAGTACTTGGAGCAACTGCCTGGGAAGCTGAAGCTGTTCTCCCAGTTTCTGGGGGACAGGAAGTGGTTTGCTGGGGAGAAGGTGCGTTTGCCATGTTGCCTAGGGGGGGAGTAGTGGTGCTGTCGTGCCGTTGGAGAGGCTGGTGATGGGAAGTTCCAGTCTGGTGGCTCTGATCCGAGTCTCTGCTTGTTTCCCAGCTCACCTATGTTGATTTCCTCATGTATGATGTGCTGGATCAGCACCGCATGTTTGAGCCCAAGTGCCTGGACCAGTTGAAGAACCTGAAGAGCTTTCTTGATCGCTTTGAGGTGAGCTCAGCCCAGCCTCTCCCATGACGTGCTCAAGACCTGTAGGGTGGGTCAAGCTGCTTCCCGCTGGGCAGCGTGGCCAGCAGACGTTCTTTTTTGCCAAGTTCTCCTTTCCCTAAGAAGAATTTCCATTCTAAACCCCCGGCACGCCTTTGTCTTGTCAAAGCCACTTATATCGTGATGAATGGCATCCAAATTGTCTTGCACAATGGCCATACACTGGAGACCTGCACACGAGAGTCCACACAGCTCAAATTTTGAGGACTTCCTGCTTTTTGCTTTTCTTCACTGGATCAGCCCGGTTTTCAGAGCTCTCTCTGAAAACCAGGTGCTGAGGGCCTGACAAAGTTTATTGAAGTCACTGGTCAACAGAGTTTGGATCGGGCTCTTAGTCCTCCAGGCGAACCAGGCTGTGGGACATGCCTGAGAAGACTTGGCTGCATGGCTTTTAGCCTTCTGGTTCCCAATAGGAAATTATTTCTGGGCTGGTGTTTGACCAAGGCATGTGCCAAATACCTAGCTAAGGTATCGTGTATGGGAGGCATGTAAGGAGCTAATGTTGCCCTCTTCACGTGCATGTATCTTCCCCTGCTTTCCCCGCAGGCCCTGGAGAAGATTGCTGCCTACATGCATTCTGGCCGCTACATGAAGACCCCCATTTTCTGGAGAATCGCCCAGTGGTGCAGCAAAAAGGAGTAGGATCACCTTGAGTCCAGCAGGCTCTAAAGAGCCCCCTTGACACAAGTGGGCATCCGAGAAGAGCGCTGTGATCTCAGGAATCGCTCTGCCCTGCACAACGTTGCTGAGCAGTGAATCAGTCATAGCCAAAAGCTGTGAGCCCCATCTGTATGCAATTTCCCATGCTGTTGGCTAATGAAAGTAGTTTGATGATTGTCCAGTTGTTATTGGTTTCCTGTGTGTGATTTTCCTCATTTGTTTAAAACTAGATGCTGGACCACTGCATTGGGTGTCCAGGGAGCTCTGATGAGGTGTTTGCTGAACCCTCATTTCACTGCCAAACCTCTCCTCTGTCCCAACGCTCCTAGACGAAAGGGCCTGATTTGTAGAGCTGCTGAGATCCTACCACGTCCTTGATCCAGGTGCTCTGAAGAGCCAAGGCTCTGCCGTTCCTGCCTAAGCTAGACACTGGGAAATAGTGCGCTCCACTTCTGCGCATATTGAATAAGTGCATCATTCTCTCTTAGCTGCATAAGGAAGCCGGGACCAGCTATATTTTATAACCGGTTCTGGTTAGTTGTGTAGTGATTCGTTGCTTAAGTACATATCGTCTTTCAGTCCCACTATCCGCTTTGGAACCTAACGGCACTTGATTTAACTGCATGAGTCCTGAAGTCGACCAGGAGTGAACAGTTTTAAGGCTTCAAAACCAGCCCTGAATTGACTAGGGTCTGCCACTTTCAAAGGCAGAGAAAGCCTTCTGCAAAGTAAGGAGCTCCTAGTGAGGTGCGAAAGGCCTTGCTGGGCTATTTCTGAACACTGTTTACATGACCATATTGTTCCAACTATAAATTGACCCGACATATAAAAGGCAGCCTTGTATTTTCCAGGCTCGATTTTAGGGAAAACAGCTTCCTTCCACCCCAATACAAGTTGATAACCACAGATAAAGCCCAGGATCTGCTATTGCCCTTGCAAAATCCCACAAGAGAATCAACTAGCCAAGGAAAGGAGCCCGACAGGTGAATGCAGTAAAAATCTGTTTGTTAAAAAAGAGCGTTCTGTCCCAGTGAGATGTTTGCCCAAGGCTCACCATGGGGGGAGAGCAGGAGTCTGTCTTTCCTCAGAGCTCCTCAAACAGTACCCCGAACTTAACCCCATTTGTTAAAAGCCGGTTCAGATAAAAAAAGGACTTAAGGCACTTTGGTCCAAGCTTGGGCTCTAATGAGCCTCAAAAAGCAGTTCCAGAGCTAAGGAGTGACTGCCGAGAACAACGTCTCTCGTGTTTCTGGGGGACAATCATAGCGTAGGGATGGTACTTGTAGAAGGTTGCTCTCAGCTGCCTTTGTGATGGAAACAGATGGTTGGGTGGGGGGGTAAGGCCCAGCCCATTTGTTGCCTAGTTCCTGGAGGGTTCGTGAGAAAGCACTGGTGGCACTGCTTAATTCAGGTAATTAAATCCTGCTGTACTCCATAGTAACCTGAGACAGGCCACGGTGAGAGAAGCTGGAAGCCGGTTGAGTGCACCCGCATCTCCCTTTGGGACACTGAGGGCAGGCTTGGAGAAGAATGTAGTCTGACCCCTCCAACAGGGACCTCCGGGACTGCTGGGCTGTTTTGCACACCGGCATCCCCTTAGAACAAGCTGAGCAAGTGCTTGTAGGCCCTGCGTGTTGCAATGGGAGTGGGCTTGTGGAGATGGAGCCTGGGGAATCTGCTATTTCAAAAGAACCACTGCAAACAGGAGGGAAACGCTGGCTCTGAAGCCACCAGCCTTTGCTGTCTTGCTGAGGTCTCCCCCGGCTGGCAGGAGTGCAAGTGCCTTTATCTGCACTGTGGCTGCACTTGCTCCTATGCACACAAAGCCAGCCTGTGATAACGGCGAGCGCCAACGGGCGTTTCAAAGCCTGCGACTTTATCTCCTCTGCTGAGCCATACGTGATTAATGTGCCGCATGCACGTTCATTTTCCTGATTTGCTGCATGCCGTTATGACTAGCCGACACCCTTTGTTTCCTGTCCTTCCAGGTGCAGCAGTCTCACTCCCCTGCACTTAGGCAGGAGGGATGCTACTCTCTGCATGTTTGTCATTGCATCGTGGGCCTGTTAAGCACAGGGTTGTTAAGTCAGAGTAAAATAAAACTGTGGAAGGGGAAGATTTACCATCAGGTCTAAGTGCTGGAGCCAAGGGGGGTTTAGGTGTTGCCTGGACCCTGGAGTGGGACTCCCTGAATAGTGCACGGGGCTCAAACTAGCCAGCATGCCGGGCAGGGAGGCTGCTCAGAGGAAGGGCTGAGGACCCGGGGCATCTCAGTTCCTGCCACTCTTGGCCTGGCAGCAATTCTCAGGCTGACAAACTTAACATGTACTTGAGCCCCTCAGTGCTGCTTCCATCTGTCTCCAGATCTGGCTTAGACCTTTCACCATGCAGGCTGTGGTGACGAAGCCCAATATGCAGGCAGGAGAAATTCCCAGCCAGGTGTTCCAGCAAACATGCCGTCACAACATGGCTGTAACAAGCCCTGTTCTTCTTTTGCTCAGCCTGACTCTGCAGATCAAGCTGAGACTTGTTTCCCGGCGTACGTTAGAGAAGCTGGCTCTCGTTCTGGGATGCTTTCTGGGCCCTTTGCCCCTCTCTCGTGAGAGTCACTCAGCATGAGGTCTGTCTTGTGTGCATGCCTCTTTGGAAGGATGTGGCCACAGTTTGGTCACGGTCAGTGTGCTCTGGCTCTTGGGGGGCTGTGGCATGGTCCCTTAGGGCATCGTAAAGCCAGGGTGCGAGTTAAGACAGCCCCTGGGACTTAACCAGCTGCAGCAAGTCTGGAATCCGGCAGATCGGGACTGTCAAACTCACCCTAGCCCCAGGCTGAATACAGACTGCAGGGCTTTTTCTAAACAGATCTGTGGGGCTAGTGGCTACAAAGGCAGATGTGATGGGGGATAGCAGTGAGAGGTGGAGGTAGGGGGGTCTGGCAGCTATGGGGCCAGGAAGTAACAGCAGGCCAAGTAGCCATAGGGCAAGTAAGGCTGTGTCAACACACCCATTCCTTGCACTCCTGCCACTAATGGACATGTCCAGTAGGTCTCGGCGACTCCCTATTCTGCAGCAGGTCACACACCCCCTCCAGACCTGCTGGTACCTTGGGAGACTGGATGGAGCAGCTCTGCAGGCTGGGTCTCGCCCCTGGGCTGGATGTTGGACACCCCCGTGGTAGTAGATTGAAAGGTATGTGTAGGGGGAGTGAGGTCTGCTCTTCCTACCTGAGCTGTGGAAGCCATCCCTTCCACAGCCATCGCTCACCTCCTGCTGCTGACACGTGCCCCCAACAGAGCTCCATGCCCCATCTACTGATGCTTCTCCGTCAGGGCACACAGCTAACGCTGCGGGGTTTTGAATAAGTGGGGTCACCACTAGGTTTGGACAGAGTCTTCCAGCCTGACCGGTTTCCTGGGGTATGCAGAGCCCAAGGGAAGTGGGAACTGGTGGAAGACTGGGCAGTTAAATGTGGCTGTAGAGAAAGACCTGGGAGAGGAAGCAGCAGTATGAACTGTGGGATAGGAGGGGGAAGAGTCAGCAGGGTGTGCGGCAGGGGGCTATGGGCAGCTGAAGGCAGAGGGGCCCATGGAGATGGGACGACAAAGTCAGGAGACATCTCTTATGAGAGCAGGTGTGAAAGAGCGACAATGGGATGGTTTGCACCCTAGGACCAGTGATTCTAGAAGATTGCAGCAGCCAGTTAAGCCAGGACCCTGATTTTGAAATCTCTGTGTACTTTGGCTGGCTGCCCCTGCTGAGCCACATGCTCCACATGCCCACAGCTGGCCTCTGCTCTTGGCACTGAGTAATTTCCTCAGTATTGCTCATGACTTTAAAATTGCTGCTTCACCTTGCTTCTGAGTCAGCTATGTTTCTGGTCCTGGAGGAAAGCTTCAGGCACTGCCTCATGTGATGGCCTGGCTCTGGGCTGGATCTGGCCTGTGGGCCATATATTTGGCACCTCCGGTCTAGATCACAATTATGTGGCTGAGCACCTGGCTGAAAACTGTCTTTCAAAGAGTAGGTATTGGGGCTCACTGTTGAATGGGGAGGACATGGGGTCCCACATGGGCCTGTCCTGGGCCTCGTTCAATGCAGTACATTCACTAATTGCTTGATTCATGAAATGGAGAGTGCTCTTACCACATCTGCACGTGACACCAAGCCGGGAGAGAGGGTGCAAGGGCTTGGGAAGATGGGATCAGAATTCAAAATGATCTTGATGCTGAGATGGTCTGAATTGAAAGCAATGAGATAAGACACGAGCAATATGCCAGGGGTGTTGGTTGCAGCTCTGCTGGTCTAAAGACGTAGGCAGACAAGGTTCTTTGGGTAAATGTGAGCTCTTTTATTAGGCCAACTAAATAGTTGGAAACCTTTTTCTTTGCAAGCTTTGGGGCACAAATGCCCTTCTTCAGGCACTGAGGGAGAGACTGAATGCACAACACGCAACAGGGCCTAACGGTAGGCGGCAGGACCACAGAGGAGGACTGGGATGTGTTGGAGTGGATCACAATCAGGCAGTGAGCCCACAGCGTGATATCTGGCAACAATGGCCGATCACATCCTGGGAGGTGTTAACAAAGGTGTTGCGTGTTAGACACAAAAAAAAGGCACTAGCGAGACCTCAGCAGGACAACTGTGTCCAGTTTTAGGGGGATGGTGATGAATCATTTTCTTGGTTGTATTCAGTGCACAAAAGATGAGACTATCTGATTTGCAGCAAAGTAGATTTAGGTTAGATACTAGTACGGGGTGGGCAAAATGCAACCTGTAGGCCAGTTGTGGCCCGCCAGGCCATTCTATCCAGCCCGCAGGGCCCCTAAAAAATTTAGAAAATTAATATATATCTGCCCCTGGCTGCCTGTCATGCAGCCCTTGATGGCTTGCCAAAACTCAGTAAGTGGCCCTCTGCCTGAAATAATTGCCTGCCCCTGTACTAGGAGAAGCTGGACTATGTGGCTAGGCTAGTGAGGCCAAGGCATAGGGAGGCTGTGAAATCTCCTCTCTGGCCTGACATACCTTGCCCATCCCCAACCAATATGGAGAATTGCAATATGGAGAAATGCAGGGTGCTCCACCTCAGGGGGGGACCCCACATCACACTTATAAGGCTCGGCCGTGCTACACTACAACCGAAAGAGACTTGGGGGTCATGATTGACCACAAGATGAACATG